GGAGTTGTTAATGGGGCAACTTTGGCATTTTGGGTAAATCCCTCTATTCCACAGAAATGCCCAGTTAGCAATCCCAGGTAGAGTCATTTGTACTTATTACCTTAAGTGTTTATTACTTGGAGACCCTGGGTGCTACGAAATGAATAACCCTGTTCTTATTTGTCAACTCTGAAAACAAATGACCAAAAAGTCACAAAGGTTATACAACCACTGTCAACTCAAAAAATCAAATCAAATCAAATCCCAGAGAGCTCACACAGGTTATCACAAACACAGTTAACTCTGAAAATATCAAAGAGTTCACACAGGTTATCACAACCATGGTTAACTCTAAGGAATGAAAACAAAAGAAAAAATAAGGCCAACAGCACTCATAAGCAAAAAGCTTTCTTTATTCCATTGGAGGAGGGAAATTAGACACATTTGCCAGGGCCTGCTCAAGCAGGAGATCCCCTTGAGTATGGGCAATACATGTACCAATGGTTACGAAGTGAGCTGTAGCTCTGGCAATGAGGGATAACAGCAACAATGAGAGAAATTTGATTCATAGCAGTAATGAGGATAGGATCTAGACCCCAAAAAGGAAAAACTCTGGACTTTCCCACATGGCCAAATCTCTGGTATTGGCCTGAGGCTATAATCCCATGAACTGGCTTTTCATTGTGGCTACCCCCAATCTCCCAATTCTCTGTTCCATAGTTTTACCTCCCTATGGCCACTTCCCACCCTTAATCCTATCTAGGCTCCTTCCTCCCTTGGCCACATGGTCCAGGTCCCTGGAGTTCTATTACCTCATAGACTACTTGGCCACTCCTAGACCCCTCCCATAATCTTTCTGTATATAAAGCCAATCCTGTCTCCATTAAGATGCTCAGATTCTTATAATCTAGCCAATAGCTCATAGATGCTCAGATTCCTTAATACTCTGGGCTAATATGGCAGCTCTTTAATAAACCTTGTTTTTGGTTGAAAGAAGGCTTGGGTCGAATTCTTTTGGGCAGGACCCGCGTGATCTTGGGGCTCTAGCACCTTAGCCTCTAGACCTCATCAGCAGGGCTTTATGACTAGAACATGGTTTCTGCAGGTACTTGTCTGAGATCAGGACCACCTGGTGCTGGTGTAAAGCAATCCTGGGATTTTGCTGTGGCTGAATTCATCCAGAGGGTGAGTACCAGGACACAGCTTGCTTGTTGGGCCTTTGTTCTGGAAAACAGGGTGTCTCCTAATAGTAAAAAGAGAGGGGTAGTCTTGGCCTGAGAATCCTGACATTAAAAAAAATTTTTTTTAAGCATTATCCAAATAACTTACTATCACAGCAGAGATGATAGCAAGGTCCAAATTTTTTGATTCTTGAATGGTTTTTTATTTAATTTGATATTTTTATTATAATTTATTTATTATAGTTTAATATTTTAAAATCTTACTACTCTTCCAAATCAGGATTACATGAATGCTCCTATTCCTCTTCCAAGAAGAGCCTTGCCCAGAAACTCCTTTTCTTTCTCTAAAAGCCAAATACCAGAACTCTTTAGTTGAGGTCATTCACAAGGTTAACACTGCCTAAGAAATCTAGATTCATATCTCTGTTAAACTGGTGAATGATTTTCCTTCCCTTTGGGAGAAGGTCGAGCCCAAAGGGAAAGGAAATAATCTATCAATTTAGATATAAGCATCTAACCAGACTCTTTTTAATAGGAAAGTGAGGGGAAATGCAATTCCCTTTAGCTAATCTTAATCTCACCGATATGCACTTATCAATTCCTGGGGGCGGGGCACCATCATTTTAGCTCCCTAGTGTTTAGCCTGTGCCTGGGGGCCCAGAGATTGGCGTGCCCTGAATGAACTTCATTCCCTCTTCTCGGCATGTTTACTCTTCACAATTTCTAGTTTTTTCCTCCCAGAAACCCTCCAGAAAACACAGCCCCTGAAATCCAAGTTCAAAACACATCACCAACTGATGAACTCTGGGACAGCAGCTGCCTGAGTATCTCATCTGCATAGTCCCCATAGTCAATTAGTCAGTCAGCATTTATGAAGCTTCCTCTGAGTGTCCTCACTTTGATAAGCATCAGAGATACAAAGAAAGGCAAAAAACAGTCCCTTCTCTCTGGGAGTTCGCAATCTAAAGAGGAGATAACATGCAAATAAGAACATATGCAAATAAGGACAAATGGGGATTGTCTAGAAGGGGGGCTGGTGTTTGTCCTTCATTCTGAAAGAGGACCATTACAGGAAGATGATGCCATGACTTGCACATGAATCCAATTTAAGTAAGGAGGTCATCAGCCTCACTTTCTCCTCTAGAGCCATCTGGGTCCAGTGGCTAGATATAGATCAGAAATGAAGGAGGACCGGGAAAGGATTCCTGCAGCAGGTGTCATGGTAGCTGAATCTGAAGGAATCTAGGAGGTGAAGATGAGCAGGAATAAGGGAAAGCCGGGGTAAAGGGGAAGGAAAGAGGGAGGGAAGGAGGAAAGGGAGAAAGGAAGGAAGGAGGGAAAGAAGAAGGGAGAAAGGAAGGGGAGAGAAGAGGAAAGGAGGGAGGGAAAGTGAGGGAAGAAAAAAGAGAAAGAAGAAAGGACAGAGGGAAGGAAAGAGAAAGAGAGAGAAGGAGGGACCCCTTCTCAGAATCAGGCTTTTAAATCATTGAAGGAAATGGTACATTTTAGTGAAATGTTAGTGAAAATAAAATCCGAGGTCACCTAGTGAGTTCCTGCTTCAGAGAGAGCTCCCCCCAGCACATTTCAGGGTTTACTCCCAGATCTTGGACACAAAGACAAAAGCTGAACTTCCCCTGCCCTCAAGGAGATTACATTCTAAAAGTGGGGAGGGTCTGCTATCTACCTAAGTGACCCTTGGTCAGATCTCTAAACCTCTTTGGGCCTAATTTTCCAGGTCTGTAAATGAGATAATGTAATTAGCTATCTGATCAGGTCTAAATCCCTGAGGACATACCCGTGTGCCTTTCTTCAAATGTGGGCCAGGGTTGGAGGTAGGCCATGTTGGTGTTTGCCATACCATTGGCCCATTTCGAATTCTGTGAATAACAGAGGTTACAAAAGACTCCCAGGAAGGCACTGCCTTTCCTTTTTCTGCCTCTCCAAAGACCGGTCATGAGCTGGCAGGTCTCTGGAAAGTTTCCTACAGCCTTTTTTTTTTTCCCCATTCTTCATTTTTCTGCATCTTCCCATCAAGAGCTACCTGCATGGCAGGAACAGAGAGCTGAGGGTTGCTGATGCTATTGGCTCTTGAAGGACATGCCGGCTGCCTCCTTCCCGGGATTCCAGACTGAATTGAATTCACTCATAGCAAAAGCCTAAGGAGCCCGCAGCTTTGCCAAAATAAAAAGGCCAGTCCCTGGGGCCTCTGGCAGAAGGACTACCTCGAAGGCTGGTCAAGGCTCCTTTCTGTTCAGGGCAGCAATCTTGCCCTGTTTTAGGTTGAGCTGTTACAGGCAGGAATTACAGGTCTTGGCCAAAGATTGTTGCCACCTTGCCAACGCTTTCTCCCCCTTCGCTTTTCTTTAGCAAATGGAGCGGTTAGCTGCCTGGCTGGGCTTCTAATGAACATTTGGCGTCCAAGCTTCCCCTGGCTTCTAATAAAGGACTACATTGTTCTCTGGACACCATCAAGGGCATTCATTAGCAGGGAGTGGCTGTGACCCCCTTCTACTAGGAGGGAACCAGCTTTTCCAAAACAATTGCTTTGTCCCTGACATAAAGCCCTGGTAACTTCTAAGAACAAAGGTATTTTCCAAAGAAAATTGGTTCTCAGAGTGCCTAGAGTGTGTTTTCCATATATTTTAACAATGCTCCATTTCAAGCTGATGGTACCGATAGTAAGTGTTTTCACTTCTCTCATTAAGGATCATGTAGGATTCTTATTGCCCAATGGGCACTTTTTTTTTTTTTTGCTTTTTCTCCCCACTGAATAGTATTTTATATTTTCCAATTACATGTAAAAATAGTTTTCAACATTCACTTCTATAAGATTTTCAGTTTCAATTTTTTTTTCCCATCCTCCTTTCTTCCCCCCTTCCCAATCTGATATAGGCTATACATGTACAATCACATTAAACTTATTTCCACATTAGTCATGTTATAAAGAAGAATCAGAACAAAAGGGGAAAACCACGAGAAAGGGAAAAAAAAGAGCAAATAGTGTGCTTCAAATTGTATTCATACTCCATAGTTCTTTCTCTGGATGCAGACAACATTTTCCATCATGAGTCTTTTGGAACAATGGGCACTTTTCTGAGAATGTACCTCGTCCATGAAGAGCCAAAAAGGGGGTTAGCCTGCCATAACACCAATGGCCATTGGGCTATGAATGGTGGAATGCTGAAATCAGTCAGTCAGTAAACAAACATGGATTGAGTGCCAACTGCATGCCAGGCACTGTGCTAAGCTCTGGGTTCGTTGTAGATGACCCAAAGGGAAATGGAAAGGTGTATGGTTTGAAGCAGGAGGACGGCAGTGTTACAAAATGAGGGATTGTGTGTGTCAAGGATGTCATTGGAGACCTGTGCTGTGGTCTCTCCCCATCTAGTGATGAAAATTACAGGCCATCATTCATGCCTGTCCATACTATGTGCCTTGCATCCATGTCAATCAAGAAGATGTTCCTGAGGAGCAGCTAGGTGGTACAGTGGATAGAGCACCTGCCCTGAAGTCAGGAGGACCTGAGTTGAAATCCGGCCTCAGACCAAACACTTGACACTTACTAGCTGTGTGACCCTGGGCAAGTCACTTAACCCCAATTGCCCCCCACCAAAAAAAAGAAAAAAAAAGAATGAAAGAAGCTCTTTCTGAGACCCGCTATGTGCCATATACTCTGTGGGATGCTAGGGATATAAAGACAAAAACAACATTATGTTCTATGGGAGACACATTCTGCCAGTATGTCCTTCCATAAATTCACCTGGGGGGCCACTCGATGTGTTGGAAATCTTTGATTTCTTTAAGGTAAAGCATTTATTTGCTTACAATGTACCACACACTTTTGTTATTGCATTGATCTCGATGGAGAACTCAAGCTGTCTCTTAGTTATCCCTCTCTCATTACATGGCTGGACCAAGTTCTTTTCTAATCACACACTTCTTTGATGACGTTTTTAAACTAATTTTCCCTTTCGCGTGGGACAGCAGAGACTGAAGAAGTGAGTTCAAAACTCACTTCTGAGGCTTCCTGCCTTGTCACCTCATCTCCCCCAGCCTCCCTTTTCTCCTCTGTCAAACTGGATTGGATGTCTTCTTGTGATCTTGTCCTTCTTGTCTGCAATGCCATGAAGGCTGTTCAGGCTCACCACGGGCCTTTCCGGTGAAATGACCTGAAAAAAAAAGGATGAGCTAGTCTGAGTGGGAAAAGGAACAAACATTTCCTATATGCCTGCTATGGCCGACACTCTGCTAAGCATTTTACAAATATTATCTCATTTGGGAGATAGGAAATAGAAAGAAAGAAGGATAACCAACTAAGTACTCCATTGGTATCCAAAGAATGTCAAGAGGTCTATAGGAAGGCACCCAACATTCTGAGATGTGTGGGAGGTATAGACAAGAGTTCCAGCAGGGGTTTTACTTGCACTACCGGAGGGAATAGAGAACATAGGTCCTTCCATCAAAGTCTCATAGTATGAGCTCTCCTGGTTTTAGAGCAAGGTTGCTTGTTTGGGGGAATCTGATAGAAATTCATTTTGGCCTTGGTGACAGATTTACCTGATAAACAGCTTTGAATATGCTTTGAAAGTCTACCTGTGTCTCCTGAGGCTTTCTGTTGCTGTCCTGAAGGGAGCTGGCGAAGAGAAGTTCAAAAATAAGTGTTTTTAAAAAGAGTGCATTGTGGACTTAAAAGGCAAGCCGAGAAATCCAGTGGTTGACTTTTCTAGGTAATATCATCCTTCTTGTACCTGATGGAATTTTTAAAATGGCAACAGTGTTCAGTTTCCTGAAGATAACACTGTTGGACAAATAGAGCCTTGCTTAAGAGCAAAGCTCTGGGATAGCAAACTGGCTCATTCTAGCTATCAGTAAGACAGGTATAAAACCCCTGAGAGAAGCCTGGGTACCTGATGACATCAACAGCCCTCAGTTCTCTGTGCCTGCTGGCATGACTAGGCTAAACAGAAACAGAGCTGCGGTGTTTAATTTTTAAAATGTAGAACCTTGGAATCTGAAAACTGAGAACATCTTGTCTTCCCCTCCACTCATTTTACAGATGTGGTAACTGAGGCCCAGGAAATAGAAATGCCTCGCTCAAGGTCACTCAGTGAAGTGATGGCAGAAGTGGAATGAGAAACCAGGTGACGAAATAACAAAAGATATCAATAGAACTTTAATTTAAAAAAATTTAAAATCCACTGAATTCCATATGGACAACATAGCTACTTTGGGTAAGGGACAATGTGGGGGGGTGGGAGGCCTGGGATGAGGTCAGGCCTAGTGTGGCGCTTTTCTACTTTTCCAAAATTCTTTCATGTAAACTTTCTGGGAAGGCAGCATGATACAATGACAAGAACATTGAACTTGGAGTTACCCAGACCCATGTTCAAATCCTGACCCTGTCACCTGTGTGACTTTGGGCAAATCACTTAAACTCTCTGGGCCCCAGGTCTCTCATCCGTAAAATGAAGGGATTGGACATGATGATCCTCTCTGGCCCCTTTCCAGCTGTAAATTGGTGATTCTATCTCATTTCCTCTCTCAGCCACCCTCAGACTTGTGAAGTTCATAGGGCATACGGTCATGGTCCCGATTTTACAGATGGGAAAATTAAGGCACAAAGCATTTAAGTGGTTTGCCTGAGATATTGGATCAAGTTGTAGGTCTAGGACTTGAATCTTATGGCTGCTAATTCCCAGCTTTCCAAGCCAGGGCTGGAGAGGCAATGTAGCGTAGAGGACAGAAAAGTGCTTGACCTAGTGGTCAAGAAGACCGGTATTTAAATCCTGCTTCAGACACTTCCTAGCTATGTGACCTTGGGCAAGTCTCCTGAACTACGTGAGGTTCCGTTTTCCCATCGGTAAAATGGGGCTAACGATAGCACCTATCTCATGGTGTTGTCCTGAGACTGAGCTGACCTGCTTGCTATACAGAAAGCATCAGCTGTGTTATTATCGTTCCCTCTATGGATGTCGCTTCTATCTATCACCACCCTTCTCCCATTGTCTAGCTCAAAACAGATGTCATCTTTGACTTTTTTCTCTCTTTCCCTTCTCATCTGGTTACTCATCAAGTTTTTCCTCATCTATCCCTTTGGTCCCCTCCTTTCTGCTCTCATTCCCCAGTCCCAGCTAGAATTCTTTTTTTTTTTTGGCTTAATTGGTTAAGTGACTTGCCCAGGGTCACACAGCTGGTAAGTGTCAAGTGTTTGGTCTGAGGCAGGATTTGAACTCAGATCCTTCTGACCAGCACTGGTGCTCTATCCACCTATCTGCCCCCCCAGCTAGAATTCTTTATCCTAGCCTCATAACGTTTAGAGTTGGGAACACTCAGCACAGTGCCTGGCACATAATAGGGAGGGCTTAATAAATGCTACTTGACTGACTGATGGAAGGGATTTTTGATACCATCCAGTTCAGTCCCTTTTTTTTTAATAGATGAGGAAACTGAGGCCTAGGAAATGAAATGGCTTGCCCAACCCAAGACTTGAAAGTAGGTTTTCTAACTCCAAATCCACTTGTCTATACCAGGTGTAGGGAACCTGTGACTTCTAGGTCCTCAAGTGTGGCTCTTTGACAGAATCTAAGCTTTACAGAACAAATCCAAGGCCACATGTAGCCTCAAGGCGGCAGGTTCCCACCCCTGCTCTACACTATTCTATTTCTTGCCTGTAATTGATATCAGTGATTAGTTTAACTATATTTCTTAAGCAAGTTTAGCCACGTTATCTTCCCATTCAATAAACTCCAATTGCCTCTTGGATAAAATAAACAAACTTTTCTTTTTTTTTTTATTAATTTATTTTGATTTATCAATAATCACCACTTCCATAAGCTTTTGAGTTTTAAATTTTTCTCTCCCTCTTCAAGATGGTGCACAATCTGATATAAGCTATTACACATATTTTCACATTAGTGATGTTGTAAGGAAGAATTAGAACCAATACGAAGAACCACCAGAAAGAGAAAATGAAACGAAATAGAAGAAAACAATAGCAAATAGTATGCTTCAATCTGCTTTCAAACTCCATAGTCCTTTCTTTGGATGTGGATAGCATTTCCCATCATGAGACCTTTGAGATGTCTTAGATCCTTAAGCAAGCTCTTCTGTTTTGCTCTTAAAACCTTTGGTGAAGCTCAGATGTTATTCTTTTTTTAAAAAAAATATTAATGAATTTATTTTTAATTTTCTACATTCACTTCCATAAGATTTTGAGTTCCAAGTTTTCTCCATCTCCTCCCACCCCTCACTCCAAGATGGCACGCAATCCAATATAGGCTTTACATATACATTCATATTAAACATAGCCCAGATGTTATTCTACTCCCCCCACCCCCCACCATCCTCCTTGGAGTACAATCGCTTTGGCTAGACCTTTTAAAATCCAATCTTTGGACTGTAGCCCTGGCGAAAAGTCACTTAACCTTGTTACTGTGTTGTGCACCTAGTTATCGCTACATTTCTGTGCTTCTGAACTTTATGGTCTAGGAAATCTGTCTTTCTGGCTTTTCCTGAAATAGAATACTCCCATCTTCCCTCTCAAAAGCAGCTAGGTGGTGTAATGGATAGAGCACCAGGCATGGAGTCTCGGAAGACCTGAGTTCAAATCCAGCCTCAGACACTTACTGGCTGTGTGACCCTATTGGCTTCAGTTTCCTCATCTGTAAAATGAGAGCGAGAAGGAAATGGCAAACCACTCTAGTATCTTTGCCAAGAAAACTGCAAATGGGGTCATGAGGAGTCGGACAAGACTGAAAAATGACTGAACGACAATCTTTCCTCTCTGCATTTTATCACCAGCTACCTATTCCCCCGTGTCTGGAATATATTCCCTCCTCACTTCCATGTCTTAGGATTCCTTATTTCCTTTAAAGCGTTGCTTGAGAGTGAAATAATATTTGGAAAGCACTTAACACAATGATTGGCATACAGTGGGCACTTAATAAATGCTTGTTCCTTTTGGTTGTTCTGCAAGGCAAAGGACAGGAAAGCATGTTGAAGTGTGCTGTAGTTCTTTTATGTCATTTTTTTCAGTCCTATCTAACTCTCTGTGACCCCATTTAGAGAAGGAAATGCCAAACCACTGCAGTGTCTTTGCCAAGAAAACCCCAGAATGGCATCAGGGAGAGTTGGACATGACCGAAATGATTCAAAAAAAACAACAAAAATGGCGTGCTTACTAAGTGTTGATTGAAAGGAAGGGACGGGGGCAGCCAGGTGGCCGCAGTGGATAAAGCTCCGGCCTTGAAGTCAGGAGGACCTGAGTTCAAATCCGGCCTGAGACCAAACACTTGACACTTACTTGCTGTGTGACCCTGGGCAAGTCACTTAACCCCAATTGCCTAAAAAATGAAAAAAAAAAAAGAAAGGGACCAAGCACTTATTACATGCCTGCTATGTGCCAGGTACTGTGTTAAGCACTCTACATATGTTATCTCATTTAGGCCTCACAACCACCCTGGGAGGTAAGTGCTATTAATATCCCATTTTATGATTGAAGAAATTTAAGCAGAGGTGACGTGACTTGTCCAGGGTCACAAGCTAGCAAATGAGGCTGGATTTGAACTCAGATCTTGACTCAAGGCTGTGTTCTACCTGCTGCTACTTTGATTGGTTGATGATTGATTTCAGTTCTCTACTCATCAGATCCTCCAGTCTCTATCTCCCTCCAATTCAGCCTGTTTTGTACTCCAGAGACCTACGGTGGTTTCCCATAGCCTGCAGAACAAAATCTGGTGCTCAGGCAGAGCTGCCAGCAAACCCTTACGGGTCTCACCTCTCTCCTTTCCTTTGTCCCCTTTTATTCCATCTGATCTACCGGCCTTCTAGGTCTCTGCCTCTGCCCTTGGCTTACACCATCCTGATGAGAAAGAGATTACAGTTGATGTTACTAATTAATGGAGCAGGAACTAGGGCAGGGTGATAAGGGCTTTGCCCCCGAGGCAGTGAAATTTGTTCCACAGTAACACATTTAAAGGGCCCGGGCGCAGGAATTGCCCAGGGAGGAAGAAGAGTGCCAGGGGAAAGGGGAGCTGGTGAGGCGGAGTTATGGCCTGGTGGGATAGGGAGAGGGAAGGCAGGAACGGGGTCTTGGCGGAGTGGGAGGGGAAGGGAGCACATGAGTGTCTTTAGGGTGTCTCTAGCACAGACCCAAACTCTGGCCCCCGCCTAGGAAGTGGACAGGAGCACCTTAACTGAAGCTGTTGATCTCCTTGCTCAGCCAGCTTGCCCCTTCCATGGTGGCCCCAGGGCTACCTCTTACTGGTTTAAGGAAAGGAGGCGTCTCACTAACCAGAGACTGTCTGGGAAGGGCACATCCCTCTCTTATCTATGATTAGCCTGCCAAGGGATCCCTCAAGAAAAGGGATAGAAAAGGGGAAGGGGAAGGAGGGGGAAAAGAAGAGCACCTGTGGCCCCTGAGGAAGGGCCTAGACACAATCCTGCCTCCTTCATGCTGGAGAACCTGGTCTTTCAGAAATTTTGCATTCTTGATCACAGGGGATAAAAGGGACACTTGATTCCATAAAATGGTTTCCAAACAAAACCAATGCAGCTAAAATTAGAAGAGAAATAGTTATCTTGGGTGGGGAGGGGGGAATGGCTTTGCAGCAAGTTTCTCTGACAAGGGTCTCATTTCCAAGATATATAAGAAACTGACTCAATTCTATAAGAATGAGTCATTGCCCGAATGACAAGTGGTCAAAGCATACAAACAGGCAGCGTTCAAGGGAAGAAATTACAAGTTGGCAACAACTGTATAAAAAAGGCTCCAAATTACTAATAATTAGAGAAATGCAAATTAAAGCAACAGAGGCTTTACCTCACATCCATGTGGCTGGCAAAGATGACAGAAAAAGGAAAATGACCGATGTCAGAAGGAAGGGCTGTGGGAAAACAGACACATGAATTCGTTGTTTGTGGAGCCGTGAGGTGGTTTAGCCATTCTGGAAAGCGATTTGGCACTATGCCCCCCAAATTGCTGAACTGCGTATACATACCCTTTGACCCAGTGATGCCTCTACCAGGTATATACTCCAAAAAGAGGGCTGTATGGGGTGTTCAGGGAGAACTAGCAGCTGTGGTGGGACGGCTGCTCATCCACCCACCTCTCACCTGCGGCTCCACAGAGCTGTAGCATGAGCCTTGGCCACACCCTGGTAAAACAGCAGAAGGGCTAAAGCAGGTTAAGGGTGACTGATACGCCTCAAACCCCTTGGTAAATTGGGGAGGGTTGTCTGCTCCAAGCATATGACTTCTGGTGGAACGGATGGATGGGAACAAGTCGTTCCAATGGCCATAAAGTAGGCACTTAGAGCTTGGTCAGACATCAAAGATGCCAAGGTCACCTGCTTCATCCCAGGCCATCACCAGTTGTCCTGACGTTTGTCCTGCCTCTGGACTTTGATAAGTCTGGAAGACAGGGTGAGGCTGAGGACTTTGTGCAACCCTGCCTCACTTAAATTTGATCCATTCACAAGTCAAGACATCACCCCTTGATGCTGCTGTCTTCTTCAAAAACAAAGGACAAACAAAAACATCAAGAAAAGTGGGAAAAGGACCCATATGTTTTATAGACACACAAACACACATATGTATGTGTATATATTTATATGTATGTATATATATAGTTGCTATTTTTTATGGTGGCAAAGAATTATAAACTGAGGAGGCACCCATTAATTGGGGAATGTCCGAGCAGGTTATGGTATGTGAATGTCATAGAACTCTGTTTATTATAAGAAATGATGAGCAGTGTGGTACAGTAGATGGAACGATGGGCCTGGAGCCAGGACCACCTGAGTTCAAACAGCCTGAGACACTTACTAGCTGTGTGACCCTGGGCAAGTCATTTAACCCTATTTGCCTCAGTTTCCTCATCTGTCCAATGAGCTGGAGAAGGAAATAGCAAACCACTCCAGTCTTTTTTGCTGAGAAAACCCCAAGTGAGATCACAAAGAGTCGGACACAACTGAACAGCTGCAAGAAATGATGAAGGGAATGGTTTCAGGGAAGTTTGGGAAGACTGGTGCACAGAATGAAGGAAGGAGAACAATTTATGCAATGATAAAAAACAATATAAGGAAAAACAACTTAGGAAAACTTAAAAACCCAGATCAATGACTATCCGTGATTCCAGAGGACCAATGAGGGAAAATGCTCCCATCTCCTGAGAGGTGATGGCTTAAATTGCAGAATGACAAACACATGGCTAATGTGGGAATTTTATTTTGTTCATGTATATATATATATATATATATATATATATATATATATTTTTTTTTTTTTTGGTGAGGCGATCAGGGTTAAGTGGCTTGACCAGGGTCTGTTTATGTATATTTTTAACAAAAATTTTTTTAATAGGGCAGAAGAAGGCAAGAAAATTAATCCTTGTTGATTGGAAAAAGGTAAAATAAAATAAAGTTTGCAGTTTTTTCTCCATCTCCAGCTAGAGTCTTGGCCTGGAGTGAAGTGATTATAGGCCAGTGAGGTAGGTTGAAAGTGTATCAGGCCTCCTGTAAGGGGAGAAGGAAGTATCTGAGGAGGGACAAAGCAAATGGCAGATGGGGAGTCTCTAAACCCCTGAGACAAGTAAGAGTACAGTTATGCCTTCAGGTGAATGCCTCAGTTTTCTTACAGTTCTGGGACTGTTCTTTCCCTGGAAGCTTTGTGCTCTCAGGTTACTTAAGCTGTCAAATGATCTGGAGAAGGAAATGGCTTTGGAATATATGTGAAAGCAACCTGGAAACTCCGCATGCACCTCGAAGGACTGAAGGCCCATTCCTCCTACCCAAGCACCATTCCCACACCCTGCAGTTCTCTCAGGCCCTCCTCTTCTCCTACCCCAAGGAAGGTCAAAATTAACTGACTGAAAGAGTTATAGACTGGGAATCAGGACAAAGGGGTTGCAGTCTCTGATCTGACACTAACTCTGCTTCTCTGTTTCTAGCTGAATTTGGAGTTAGGAAGAGCTTAGTGCAAATCTTGCTTCAGACACTTCCTAGCTGTGTGAGCCTGGGCAAGTCACTTCACCTCTTTTGCCTCAGTTTCCCCAACTATAAAATGGAGATAATAACAGCATCTACCTCCCAGGGTTGTTGTGAGGATGAAAGTGAAATATCACAAGGGAAGGGACTTACAGACCTTTATAATCAGCTATGTATGATTTATTGTTCCATGCACCAAAGCACTAATTAGACTTATCAATTAGGCAAATTAGACTAATTAGACAAATCAAACTACTTGATGCAAGCAATTCAAACATCAGCCCCATATAAGAACAAATCACCAACCTGAGTCTTAGATGTTCCTGTAAGTTTCTTTCAGACAGAACTCAGGACAAGGTTCCCTCTGCCAGCCAGTCCAAGGCAGGCATTTCCCACCAACTCGGCCATCTGGCAACGTTCCATCCATCAGTTGATTGGCCTGGCCTCGAGCTCCTGGAGTCTCAAGTTGGGGGAACAAAGGAGCTGCCCCATTTCCCACCTAGGAGCAGGCATCTGATAGCTGAGACCTTTGACAGGCATCTTATAGTTCTGGCTATAGAACTAGTGGTTTAATTACATGACTTCCTTACTGGTCAAGTTGTTTGCAATATTTTTTCATCGGTCTTATCAGAGGGGCCACATATGTTTATCAGTTGTTTAAGAATATGTGCATTAGGGGCAGCTAGGTGGCTTAGTGGATAGAGTACTAGCCCTGGAATTAGGAGGACCTGGATTAAATCTGTCCTCAGACACTTACTAGCTGTGTGACCCTAGGCAAGTCACTGAACCCCAACTACCTGTAAAAAAAAAAGATACAAAGAATATACGCATTATTTACTACATCATGCTACACTAGTGCTTGCCTTTTTTGTCTAAAAACGACTTGTTCAAAAGGACTCAATCATAAAATAAAGGTATAAAACAAGATGGGGAACAATTAAGTGTCAAAGTAGATGGAGTCAGGAAGACTCGTCTTCCTGAGTTCAAATCCGGCCTCAGACACATACTAGCCGTGTGACCCTGGGCAAGTCACTTAACCCCATTTTCCTCATTTTCTTCACGTGTAAAATAAGCTGGAGAAGGAAATGGCAAACCACTCCAGTACCTCTGCCAAGAAAACCCCAAATGGAGTCACAAAGAGTCAAACAGGACTGAAATGATTGACTTGCAAAAACAAGATGCTAAGTTGACAACATTTCTTTTGTCTTATTAAGGTAACAAAACGTGTTTTCACTACAACTTTAATGCACTTTAAAAATGCTATTATTAATTGTTCATTTCTCTTTAAAATAAGGGAATAAGATAAGCTCTTCCAGGTCTAAGAGTCTGTAAGGCTATGAGATCTGGGTCCTAGTTAGCTCTACTTCACTTAAGCCTCACTTTCAAGAAGAGTTAAATGGGCCTTTCTTGCCCATGAGCTCCATTAAGTCATCCCCCCTTCCCTGAGCCTCTGTCCTCTGTAACAACAAAGGAGTTAGGTTAGATCATTCCCCATCGAAGGTCACAACAATAGGATATTTTGAGGTTTTTTGGGGGGATAATTTCAAGGCTTTTTTTTAATCCTTCTTTTCAAAACCATCTATTAATTTGCTGTAAGAGTTAACATTTTCCTTCATTCCATGACCACCTGGATGCTAAGTGCAAAAAAAAAAAAACCACTTGCTTTTAGCACCTAGCTAGCAAGGATACTTGGTTAAAATAGGAAGCAATCAAACAGGCCAGTTTCTCTGGGGGGGGGGGTTAGAAGTGACAGGAGGGAAGGACCATCTCCTGTAGCCATTGCCTCCCAGTATCCTGGGGTCTCTTGTCTCCTCCCCACTCCCCAAATGAAAGTGAGGACTCCTGGCTCTTACTGTCCTCCTCTCAGTTTTTAGTATTTGCCCCAGGTGCAAAAGGCAGAAGCACCCTAGATAGAAGAGAATACAGTCTATTCTTGGAGAGAAAGCAAGCCCCCTGGAGGTTGGAGGGTGGGGGCTGGGATTCTGGAACCTGATGCTGGTTAAGCCATGGAAAGACTGAGCTTTCTTTCTTGTAATCTAGGCTCATTTACATTCCAGTTCAAATGGTCCACTTGCATAAACACATTTACCCATAGCTATATCAATAATTGATAATGAATACATGTATGAACAATTGGGAGGGGGGAGCTCTTTCTCCTCTGCTTTAGGATTTATGTATCTATGTATTGAATATTCCATCTCTTGCCCCCATATGTTTGCTTTTTTTTGAGGGGGGGGTGGCAATCAGAGTTAAGTGACTTGCCCAGGAGTCTTCTTGACTCCAGGCCAAGTGCTCTGTGCACTATGGCACCACCCTGCTGTCCCTCGGCCCCCATGTGTTTGCACAGGCCTAGAATGCACTCCCTCTTCATGTCCACAGCTTAGTATCCCTGCCTTCGTTCAAGGCTAGCCTGATGTGCTCCCTTTTACAGGATGGCCTTGATTTTTTAGCTCTTTCCCTCCTAAAAATAGTGTCTTTTCTCTCCACACTCTCTTTTTTGG